CTAATTTATTTTGTTCTACAATGGAGGGAGGTAATTTTACAAACGAAGAAAAATGTGATATGCTGTCTTGCTACATCTGATGCCAAAGAAATTGTGTGGAAGCCGAGCGTATGTATTCTAACAAATACCCAGAGCGGAGACAACCTGACAAGAGTATTTTTCGGCGTTTGTTATTTAATCTGAAAGAATATGGATCATTTAAGAAGCCTGCATTATCCCGACAAAAACCTTCCAATGAAGAAAACCAATACATTGTTCTACAATCTGTTATCGAAAATCCACAAACTTCTACCAGAGAAATTGAAGACCAGAATGGGGTAGCTAAATCTACAGCTCAGTTTATTTTAAGGAAAAATGAATTTAAGCCTTACAAATTCAGAATATGTCAAGGATTAAAACCGGGTGACGACGAACGACGTAGACATTTTTGTGAGTGGTATACCAGGATGTGTGATGAGAGTTTTAATTTTCCATATAAAGTGATTTGGTCTGATGAAAGTATGGTGACCAATAACGGTATTTATAACAGGCGCAATACACACTATTGGTCGCAACAACATCCACGTGTTAATAGACTATCCAGACATCAAGTTCGCTTTGGGTTTAATATTTGGTGTGGGATTTTTGGTAGCAAGATTATAGGCCCTATTTTCTATAATAATTCCTTAACTTCCGAGCGGTACCTTGACATCTTGAGGCACGATTTAGAAGATGCCTTAGATGATTTACCGCTAGGCGCTGTGCAAGGCTGCTGCATAACTCCAGAGAAGTTCGCCAATATTTAACTGAACGGTTTGATGGAAAATACATTGGGACTTACAGTGAAACCCCTTGGCCTCCAAGGTCCCCGGACTTAACTCCCTTGGACTTTTTCTTATGGGGCTACATAAAAAATGAGGTATTCAAAGAATGTTTTGACAACGAGGAACAATTACGTCAATCAGTACGAGCAGCGTTTAATAAAATTACTCCTGAAATGTTAAGTCGTGTTTTGGAGTCTACCGTGAGACGGGCGTACTTATGCCTAGAAAATGGAGGTCATTTATTCGAACATTTGTTATAGAATTTGTTTTTCATTAACTTGTTGGATTTAGTTGTTATGTTAAATGAACAGTTAGAGTTAGTAAATAAATAAACACATTAACTCGAACTTGTCAACCATTTTCTTTTGCCTTTCATCGTTCGGATCTCATGGCCTACTACAATAAAATACTAGAAATGTATTAAAAAGCCATTTTTCTGGATAAAAACATAAGTAACCGTATTGTATCGTACATCGTTGAATTCGCAATGAAAAGCACAACCTAATACTGTGTGTACTTTTTTTCCGTCCCATAAGAAAAATCAAAGTTGATGGTGGTTCCATGGAATCGAAACGCTGTAATGAAAATTTGTTAACGTCAATTTGGAGAGATTAAAAAGTGCCAATGGAAAAGTGTTTTCCGTTTTTTCATATCTTTTCAAATAGCTTTAAAAAATAATAAAAACGACATCGCAATATTTCGGTTTTTCTCGGATATTTCCGGAACGGCTTGGAATTTTCAAATTTGTAAAACGGGATCTTGTTCGGTATCAAAATGCGCAACTTTTGTCTAATTTAACCGACACTGTATCTCTTATAGTTTCCGAGATCCCCATGCTGTGCATCCTTATCTTGGACACACTGTATATTTTATAAAAAAAAATTCTGTTTAACGTTATGTTCTTCTTAGCTATATTATTCGATTTTCAGGTATTTTTGCTATATTTAAAACAATGTAACCCCTCTTTTTTAAACACAAAGTTATTTCAACATTGTATCATTAACATTGTTTACGTTCGAATATTAAAATTATATATGATTGTCTAACACCGTATAGATACTGCTAATAAAGTTTAATAGTTTTAGCGGTGTTACCTTTATACATACAATTCTTTTGTTAGCTAAGTAAATGCACTGCCTGATTCTTGTAATAGTTCTTAATGCTATCCGCTCCCGGAAATTACCAACGTATGTGTCGGCGTTTACTGTGTTAGTTAAAGCGTGCAGATCTCCGTTTTGATGAAGGGTTTGTGTTCTACATAGCCTCGTCTGCAAATAATTACTCTGTCGATTAAACAGGGGTAGATATTTGGGTCGTCCCAACGAGCTCTATATTGGTTTAAGTCGCAATAGGGAACTAATCCATTGTATATTGAACCGTATACTATACATGTTTGTGTATCGTGTGTCGCCACATTTCTAATTTATTTAAAAAGGCTTATATCGCTCAAAACGCTATATGCAAATAAACATGTAATTTTAAAGTACGAAACTCTGAATCATGCACCCTTTCTAAAGTTATATACTGTCTTCCATTATATTATCCATTCTTAACCGTTGCTGATATTTCCGGGATTTTACCGCACGGGTTTGAGAGCAAACGTCGTAGAAAAAGTGGAAACAATTTCAGTCAAGCTCTGAAGAAGCGTCGTAAAAGAAGTGGAAACAATTTCAGTCAAGCTCTGAAGAAGCCAACAGGATGATTAGCGAAACGTTAGCTAGCTCGAGTCAAAAAAAAAACCGACGGAGGAGGAATCTAGAAGTTTTATAAAAAGTATTACAGTAGCCTGTGGAAGTTTCTTTGAAAAATTAATTCATCAATTTTTAAAATGGAACTTCTTCCACTTCATTATTGACCTTGTATTGAGTGAATTAATTTTATAATATATGAAGGATAAACCCAATCACTGCATTTGAATCCAGTAATGTTACATTTGGAAAAACTATTAGTTATTGTGGTTCCCTGTTTCAGTCAAGCTCTGAAGAAACAAAAAGATGATTGGCGAAACGTTAACTAGTTCGAGTCAACAAAAACCGACGCCGGACGAATCCAGAAGTTTTATAAAAAATTTGTGAATTGATGGTCTTGTTGGAATCAAACTTTTCTAGTACTGACAGAAGTAGTAACACTAAGTCTTTAGCAATTTGAATTGATATCTAAATTTGGTTTTTAATAGGGATCTGAATTCATGACATTTACAATTATCGAATCCGGAGCCTTTTATTTTGTTAGTGTATGAAGTAATAAGACTATTTTTTGATTTTGCGCTTATTAAACTAACGAAATGTCATAAAAATTCATTTAAGTCATTGACGTGATGGATATGTGGTGATAAAAATATGAGCTTTATTTAAAATTTCAACTAAAAATTGGAAACTTTTCTTTAATCCCAGGGTATTAAGTCATAATCATTACCTCCTTCACTTCGGCCATCGTAGAATCAGTCCCGCATAAATTTTATCTTTCGTCGTTGCCGTTCAGTTCGCAGATCTTTCGTCAGAACCCATAATTATTAGCACTCGAACCTTGTAGACCAAAGTAATCGTGTAGTGCTAGAATGACCCTAAAATTTTTTATCAACTAACGGCCACGGAACAACAAATTTAGTGAACCTAAACGAACCAAACAACAAAGTTATTCTTATAGCTTATTTCTTTAGAAAAAATCTTTTTTAATAATCTTGATAAAAATTATTTAACTATATAATCCGTGATAAAAAACTATCCACGGCAAAGTTTGTTATTTTTAATCAACTTATGGAGCCGTCTGCGCGCCATATGGCAGAACAACAACTTCTGTTAGTTTCTCTGTATGTAATGTGATCTTTAAAAACGCGTGGTACACACGGCATCGTGTTCCTTACGACCGAGAAAAATACGAAAATGTAAGTCAAGATCGTACAATCGCATGGTTTGTCCCCGTTTGTAGCCACTCTATCGTATATTAAATTAAGAAAGGTCCAATGATTTATTGATCGATAAAAACACGTTTAGAATCAATCTATGATTACCAGCGTGAATGGAACAAATAACTGTCAAATTTAAATTGCCAGCACCCTAGAACAGGTTACGTTGTACCGGGTAATTCATTAGTATCTGGCCATAATTCGGGCTTTAATCTCATTTGTCTTCCCTGTTAAAAATTCAGATCTTTAAAACCAAAATCTAAAAAAAAATTGAACACAAGAACACGGGAGAAACTTAAATTTAGATATACAGCCACCGTCATCAAAATTTTTAATTAAATGTTCTCTTCCTCGCTTTCTTATAATCGTTAGGGAGTTTCGTTTTTAATGATGTTAACATCTCTGCTGTCTTTTCAATTGTTTTGACTTTTTCTTGTTATGAGACATTTTTCCGTTCAGTATCATGTTATCTTATTTGTTATTCTATGGCAAGAAGTGCATACAAGTTACAGATTTAACATGTAAATTGATATCCATAATGGATACTAAGTATTTTTAGAAAAAATTGAGCACTAGTAGTATGAGCAAGACGGCGACTGGTTTATTATATGTAATGAATAAACCCCAGTCGGCCATTGCTAACTTATTTATATCAGCTAGTTTTGGGACCACTTCTTAATTCACTAGTTAAATTCGATCACAACGTTTTAAGTGACACCTTGCAATTGTACAGCCTTATCTATCATTATTTATTAATAATATGTCAATTGACCACTTCTTAATTGACGAGTCAAAAAATGTTTAAAATAATATCTTGAAAATTTAGTAGTAGTGTTATCTATCATTAATTAATAATTATCTGTATTTGAAAATAAATTATAATTTCCATGCTCCCTGTTTAAGCCCTTTAGTTTACTTTTACTGTCTTTGGGACATGGATATCGAGCAGTGGAAAGAATGAAGGAATTAAACTTTGATTATTTTTGGTTTTGGAGTTTAATATCCATTGCGTAATTTCCATTAATAGTTAACTGTAAGACAAACATTTTGACTTATTGTAAATATAGTTTGGTTAGTTTTGATTGTTTCGATTAAATAATTGTATTAGAAAATTTATATATAAAAATCAAAATTTGCTATTTACAATCAAGTGCATCGATTATTTCACACAGGCCACTTACACAGTACGCTATTTTTATATAAAGTAATAGAGAAAAGAGTGTAGTGTTTTCCAATTTCTATGCCTTTTAATCAAAGAAGATTGCTCTTAAGTTAATCATATTTTTTTTCAGGTTTCGAAAGAAGAGCTAGCCAAATTAGTTCAAGGTTTCGAAAAGCAAGACATCCTCACATCCTCAGGTGTCACGCTTGCCGGCAACAGATACATATACCTTTCGGGTACAGATCGAGTAATTAGGGCTAAACTGGGCAAAGTCGGCGTCCATTGCATGAAAACAACACAAGGTAAGAAAATGCGAACATCTGTATTATATCAAAGTGAACCTCGTATGCAAGACCACATTTAACCTAGTAGGGACAAGGCCGGGTAATAACTATCCGATGACTAGCAAGGTGATTAGTCACACGAAATTCTAATTTTATATTCTCTGACCTGTTTTAAGTTATATTTAGGGACCTCTCTTAGTTTTTAAACAGTTGAATTAATACGCGTTGGCCATATGTCGTATACAAATTCGTAAAACAGCTCGAAGCTTTGCTCTCCCATACATGGAGTGGTTAAAAATAAGCGAACATTCGTGAAAAACGTTGCGGTTAATTAAGGAATCCGCGCCATTTATTTTTAAAATGCATATGGGTCAACACTCCGTTCCAATAGATGCACTTGCCAAATTATAAGCGATTTATTCGAGTAAATGTTTTTTTTGTTTTGGACAATTAAAAGGCCTGCAAAATGTATACATCGTGATAATTGGCGTTAATAATTAACGATAAAGACAAATTAGTAACGCTGCCTTAATATGTAGGAAATGTAGTTTACCGTTGACCGACCATCGACCTCCTCCTGCTTCTCGGCCCTATACTAAACTCATTTAATGTCGTTTTAATTCTAGGTGGAACCATTCTAGGGTTCAAAAAATGCGTATGAAATAATGATACTGCTAACTAATTTTAGAATAACTCCTTACAAATACTGCGTTTTCTTAACCTTACCGTTAATTTATTTCATTATGTTTTTAGTTTGACTAGCAAAGTAGAAGGGTAATTTATAAATTAAAAATACACCCTTCTGATGTTTCAGTCTATTTTTGTCTATTTAGAAATATAATTAAAACTATAACTAATTCAACTAAAATAATGGCTTGTTATTTAATTTTTAATTTGAATTAGACAAGGCCAAGAAGCTTAAAACTTTTCTGAACCCATTTTGTGAAAGTTTCTGTATCCCATAGAATTCATCGACCAAGATTAACAAAAAATATATATTTTTCTACTCCCGGTCTGTAAAATACCTAATTACCCACCGATCTAGCATGCCAAGTCAGTTTCGTTTCCCATGAATCCGAGCCACTTCGGACATTTCCTGGATTTTACCGCACGGATTTGCGAGCAATCGGATGTTTTCGGAGATATTTCCCACGCTTTGAATTTTGACGTTTGTCAATTCTGACGGTCATGTCAGTGAATGTATTCGTGTTGTTTTACGAAAATGGACACAGAAATTAACGGTTGTAGAAAAAGTATAGTATGCAACACGTTCGGTAAACTTTTTAACTCACTCGTTTATTAAAAACTCGCTCCGCTACGCTCCGCTCGTGTCAAATAAACTCGTGGGTCAAATGCCGTTTACCGCACTTGTTGCATAATATACTATTATTATACTGCCCGCGGATTACGCTATGTCTATGTGAAACACTGGGAAAACATTTCACCTGACTTGAAGCTATGATAAGAAAAATATATGCTAAATGGAAACCGATATGTGATATATGACATGTAATTATATTTTTGGATCTTATCAAAAATTCTGAAAATTTTGTGTAACGATACCATACCTAGTTTGAACCGTCTTGAATTAAATGTAAAAAGCAATTTAAGCAAATTAAATAATTTATTTGTTAAAGTTGTGCCTTTCTGGGAATTTCATGTTAATGTTGGTTTGTTAATGTTCATTTTTACTGTACCTACGTACCAGTAAACGTGCTAATACGAAGTTTGTACTGCATTATCAATTTTTGAAAAGTGTTTTTCGTGGTATCTACTATATATTGATATTGATATTTTTTTTATTAGTAAATATTTAGCAAAAATTTGCCTTGCAGACCAACAATACTTCCTTCCTTTAATTGGATGATTTTGGTTTTTGTTTCTTAACTTTGCAACTTCTATCCTCCGATCCGATTATTCGAGTATACCTAAATAATCTGCTTTTAATTCGAAACGGTTGAAAACACGTCTGGCGTCTTATAATACTTCTAGACTGAGATTACAAAGATTCACACTCCTAATTTAAATTTTAGGGCATAATGTTTTAAACACAGCGGTAAATAGAACCGTCAAATCTGCAAGGGATTAGTTTCAGACATACAGATTACCGAGTTCTCCGAGATGTTTACTAACTTCTAATGTTTATGATCACAGTTTCCGTAAATAGTTTTTGTGTGTCAAGAAATAAAAAATTCAGTTTTCTTAATAATACTTCCTACCATTAGAAAAATAAATAAATTATAATAATATAAAAAAACTGACCAAATCTAGACCCTAAAATAACTTCTCCTTTTTACGGTTTGAGGATTGTGAGTGAATCTTATTTAAAATGTCCTTCTTTTTCTATTTTAAAGGACTATTAGGTTAGATATCTACCATTTTCTATTATATTCCAATGAAAATAGGATGTTGCTCTATTCTTTCCAGAACCAAACAGTTTTGGTAATGTTAGTAGTAATTGGCCCTGTAAAAATGTCCACTACTGTAATTGTTTCACCTATCCGGACAATTTCAGTTATTATTGTGTATTATTGCAATAAGAACATTTGAACAAATGAAATGCATAATATGAGTCAGCAAATTCTTCAAAGGTTTAGGCACCGCTGCGATCCACTGAGGATTTTATGTCCGCCTAGAATTTTATAAAATTGTATTAAGTCAGTCACCAGTCCAGCTACTCTACTCTGGTTTGCTTGGGCAAGTTGAGCCAGCTTGTCAACTTGTCAACTTGAGGATTCTGGATCTTTTGAAAGACCATGGTTCTAATCACACTAACATTTGCTGCTTCTTGACGGATACTTCCGGATTTATTTACTCTCTAATATTTTACATTTTCCGCCAATAGTTTGTCCGGAGCCATTGCCAACAGAACATATAACTATGGGTCTTACATATGACTCAATAAAATAAAACTTTTATGGTTTTCTTATGAAGTGTGTTATAGTCCAGTTTCCAGAGGTACAAAAAAAAAATTATAGAGCAAACCGGATTACTGGAGTGGCCATTTTAACGAGTGTCCAAACTACTTTGCAAAATATGTATTGTGCTTTTGTATTTTTACAATATTTTAATGATGGATATAAATACCAAACGTGTACAAATTTTTAATTCTTATTAGTGATTTGTTTCTTTATTTGAATATTACGAAACTTATTTGTAATGCTTAGTAGGTAGAGCCTAAAAATAGCGACATTGCCGTTGCAACAAAACACTAATAAATTAAATTCTTTCCATTGGTTGTTTTAATGATATTATGGCACCTTTATCACGCGACATTGTTATTTTTAGTGGTTGAGCGAACGTTGTTTTGAGTTTTATCTTCGCATTCGAAGATAATGGGAATAGCGAGGGCATTTATAAAGAACGTTATTCGGGCAGGCTTCCTCTGAGGCTTTTGTTTCGGACAGACATTATCTAAATTCCTACCTAGTCGAGTCTCAACGTAACCGGAGCTGTCGGTTTTGAAGTGCATATTGTTATTCGAATGAGTCGCTAAGTAATCAATTTTCTGTAAAATGTTGCCCTAAGTTTGATTAATTAACTGTTTATATTTGTAAATCAAATGAATTACAGTTTAAGTGTTGGGCATCAAAATAATACACCGGATCCAATGTAACAGATACTAAAATGGTGAAAAATCATTAACTTCTTGGCTTTTGAGAAACAGCGAGCAACCACATGTAACAAACCTCCATTGTGATTTCTTAAATATATATTAAATCTGTGCTGCTGCTGTTGGAAGGCTATTAAATTACCTTATTATTCTAAATTTTCGGGGAGGTTAATTCATTGAAATATCTTACCTTTTTTTGTTTTATAGCTGTGGTAGTTTCCCTATATGAAGACCCAATTCAACCTCAGCAAGCAGCGTCGGTGGTAGAAAAGTTAGGTGATTACCTGATTACTTGCGGATACTAGAGGTACGTATTCATTCATTTAATAATTTCCGTTATAATTGCATGGTGAAATCGGTACTCGAGTTAATCTGATCAAAGTACATAAGTTTTATTTTATTGTAATAATTACATGATACGACACGTCGAAAACCTCATTGATGTAATTTTTTGTTTAATTTTTTTTATTGTACTTTAATTACGACATTGTTGCCTGTGCAAAAATACGTATTTTTTGTGTAGCTGTTTGTAATGGTTTTCGATTGATCACCATGTTCAAAACAGTTAAAAGATCAGATATATGAAATGTAATTTGAAAACACGAATTAATCAATGTGTATTTTAATTTTAACATTTAAATTTTTTTGGGCAGTGAAAAAAAATCTATATTTTTATTTTGCATTATCTGAAAACGTTTGTAATATTGCTTTAATGTTTTAATAATTGTTATTTTGTTTCAGATAGTGTGTGCCGCTTCAAGCAGCCATGCCACGCGGCAACAAAATTAAATGATTAAAGTTGTTTTTTTTTATTTTCTACAGTAACAGCGAAAGCAACATTCTTATACCTACAAATATAATTTTCGATTACATGTTATTATTATTATTATTATATAATTTCGATTTATTTTATTTATCTTAACAAAATTCGTTTTTTTTTTCAAAATTTGCTTAAAATTTGAATAAAGTTTCGTTTTCTTTAAAATTTTATAGTTTTTATCGTACAGTGCCAGTCTATATCCTAAACAAAATAGTTGATTTTGAAGAATCAAAGTATTATTTTGTTTACGATGTAGCTCGCAATAAATTGCCAATCATATTTTTAGACTGTGGTTCCATTTGATTTCATTGTTTTTTTTTTTAGAATATAGAGTACTATAGATTATTTTTTGAAGCCCATATTATATATGTATGCGCTTTGGGAAATATGACTGTATTTTTTAATTCGTGTTAGCTTTTCTTATACCATGCTATCTACTACATATTTGATACTGAACCTACAGATAGGATTTTTTAATAAAAAAAATCTCTAGTCCCACTATTTTTTTTTAATTTCCTTGTCCTGTGTAAAAATTGATGTTTGAACTACAAAAGCACAAAATAGAAATGAAAAAGGACCCGAATGAGAATTTTGTAATGTTTTTTGAAAAAAAAAAGGAACAATAAAAGTTAATGCAAACGAAAGAAAATCTGAAAATTAATTTTGCGGAGTCGCATTCGATTTTGGTGGGGTCTGGACGGAGAAAGTGCGAAATTTTTAACGTCTGTTTTTTTTTACTGCTTCGAAGTAATCCTGCTGAAACAATGGCTGATATAAATGCTTTGTATTTATTGCACTAGTTTTTTCAGCCACTATAGTTTGACAAGAATATACTATGGGGACAATTCATATCAACAAAGGTTTACATCAGTCCATTTTTCAATAACAAACTTTGGTAAACACCCGCTCGTGTTTTCCAAAACTTGTTCTTTCGCTTCTGTCATATCGATGTAGTAATAAAATGCTCAGAAACATGTTAATGATCAAAATGTTTACCCATTATTTTTTCATTTTAAAAACTTCAAAAATGTAGCTGTTTTGAATTTGCAAGGGATAATGTGTATCTAAATTAAAACGTAATAAATTTGTATTATAAAATATATATGTAGTATTATTTGAATTTTAGATTTTACATATTTGTAGGGGTTATGACTGGCTATTTGTGCAACAGGGTAAGTTACACGCTTGCAATTTTTTCTATAGGACTTAAGTGATGTATCTTGTCTCCAATCCATCTTCAAAGAGATTTTGAAACCATATTCGTCTCTAAAAAAATAATGTTACGAATTTCTCATTAATGGGTATTTCTTTTATTAAATGCTTGTTGCTTCTATTCCGAATTCAGTTTAGTTAAGTCTGAAAAAGAATGCTTTTTAACAATTAGAAAAAAAATCGTAGATTCGTTCATAAAATGACCAATTTTAAAAATTGTTTTATTAAAATAAAATTCTTTGACGGTATAATAAATATTTCCATTTGGTAAGCAATTATTTCACTTTTATGAGGTTATTGCATATATTTATTAAAATTATCATTTGGTGTTAAGTATGTTTGCTATGTTTAAAAGTTACTCAATTTTTTGAACGATATAATAACTTCTACATGCCGCTAATCCACAAAATCACCTGTATTTTAATATATTAATAACTTCATCTCACTTTTATAAATAGATGTTTGCCATACAACTTTACGATATAATTCCGCAAATAAATGAATTAAGATTAATCGTTTTATTTAAAAATTTATGAGACGCTTACGTGTTACTGTAGATAAATGTTCTATAAATGCAATCTCGAAGTACTGATTGTTATACATTAGAAATAAAAAAGCGCTAATTGTGTTCCACTTAATGCAGAAAAGTTGAATCCAAAAGCACCTGTTTCTTATATTCACAAGACACAGGCAAAAATTGTTCATCTAGATGGCCAGCAGATCAAAATTAGTATACTTTTTGTTTTTAAGTTTAACAATCAAATGAGAAACAAATATTTTAGGTTTCATTGATTCTGTAAGTTTCTAACACTAAACAAAAAGATGTTTTAAACCATTATGGTGTAACCTTTGACAGAATAAATAAATAAATAACTTACTCAGGATAAGCAAAATTACTACATTATTTGTAAATTTTATTAAACCATAATTACACATTCACAAGAATCTCTGTATACAAATAAAACAGTAACAAGATACATTTCACAGCAGTGTCTAGAAAGATGAAAATCTACAAAACGTGTAAACCTATCCAAAGTATTTTCTTCTTTACTTATATAAAATTTCAAGGGGCTTTCAATTGCAAAAACTAAATCATTGCATTCAATGGATTTTCCAGATGGGTTTATTGCCAGTCATTTAGCCCACAAAATTATATTTTGTTCGATTAAGTACTGCCTTGGAGGTGAACAACTTTTGTTGTTAGTGGCAATTGCATGTCATTATAGGGCCGGGCTTAGAAACCGTAAAATTTCACGAATATTGAACTGAATTGTTTTGAGTAACCTTTTAATTTTTTTAAATGAAATTTCAATATTACAGAACCAAAATGGGTTACTTGCTTATTACGCTGATGCCTGAATTAACTGCAATTTAAAGACCTTTGCCTTGATTTACACAAGTAAATATTGCTAAGCAAGATAAGAAAAAAACACCTTGCACAGAACTAATAATTGTTATGTTACAGAAGCAGATGTAGTTTTTTGTTTTTCAAAAATTAAATATTCGCAAAAGTTTAAGAAACAAAAAACGATATCCCTTATTAGAATAAATTAGTAATAAATATAATATCTACAGGCGCATTTATTAATAAGAGGGTTTGTGAGTGCCATTTTGCTTTTGTTAGGATAAAAATGTCAATACTAATTGGTTAGTTCCAAATTATAAATGTACAGAAATATATTAATGACTATTCCATCGCGGCATCGTTTTTAATGGTGCTGCTCTAGAGAGTAATGCCTTGATCTTTTCCAAAAACTTTTGAAAAACCCCTTCTTTTTGTGAGTTTCCTCACTTGGAACTGAAAGTGAAGAAAATAATATTCTTAGTTACCGACACCCATTTAATGGGAACCAAATTTTTATTGTTAACAAATATGTTTACTTACTCGCCATATTCTCCGGAATGGTAGGGGACACCAATTCTTTATCCTTTTTTGTATCTTTGCCATTATTACCTGAAAATCAGTTGCGAAAAAAATTGAAAAAAGAATAAGTTTAATACATCTTTTTGAAAAAGGTTTTTAAATATGTATAGATTTATCCAATTGCAATTATGATGTATAATTTGTTGATTATTGGAACTAGAACCTAAATTGGTTAGATTTGAGTTTTTTGCGCTGATTATAAGAAGAACATAGAATGAATAACAATAGATACTTAGGGGAAATATTGGGAAATTATGGTGTGCTTTGGTAAATAAAAGCAATTTTAGGAATAATTAGGCGAAATTTTGTGGTAATAACTCCCTCCGATTTACACTATTTTAGGAGTTTTGTGTTAACCAAGCTATTTAACTAAGCTTTAAATTAAAAAATTAAAGTTCCTATTAGTTTCAGTTGACACTGATGTTTTCAGAAATATTGCCTTGCTTCCTGTTAATTTTGATTTATTTGGTTGGTTGGGGTGTTTTGCCAGTTTTTTTTAAATAGTGGGGAGGAGAGGTTCCAGGATGGTTACTAGGACAGGTCCATTTAAAATGGCCCACGAAGTTTCGTTTTTAAATTAGCCATATTCAGAATTTCGATTAGAGAACTTTGGGGACTTTTGCAACGTGAATTTTTCGCGATCGGGAGTTAGATGCGATTATTGAAAATTAAAAAAATAAAATAAACTGATCAAAATTGATATATCAACGAAGAATTTATAAATTGTAACGATTGATCAAAAATGTCAGTTTGAATTTTTATTTTGGGTTTAGTGGGGTTTTTTTGATGGGCCGAACTGAGATATTTGATAGATAAATATTGTTTTTGGATTTCTTTTTGCGCTCTAGCGGGGGTACGAAATTTTCATTAAAAAAAAACTGAATACCCGCAAGCCTACACTCATAGCCATCTATAGTTCTGCCAATGTACCTAAATTTTCCAAATCTCGTGTGTTCTGAAAAATTAACATATATTTGGTAGTATTTATTCAGTGGTAATTTCTAGACCATTTAGTGGTGATTGTGTAATTAGGGGTAATAAATGAAATTAGTGTTAAGGCGGGGATAATTAAAATAGGTTGGTCCCTAGATAGGTAGGTAGAAATAGGTCTCGGTTGATATAAACTTTTTACATAAAAATATTGATAATTAAATTGTTTTCACATCACTGACCTTTTCGAATCAGAAGACTAGTAACCCTTCGCAATGCATCTCGCGGCGATCTCTGGAAAAACTTCGGAGTGAGATTAGGCGGAAGGGTCTGAGGTTTCCTCGCGGAATTCTCCCAATTCGTGGTCGACATTCTGTCCAAGTGCTCTATAGATGCGGGCCGGCGGGAAGTTTTCTGTTTGGGGTACCAACCACGGTTGGGGCCCCCTGCCAATCGAAGCAAGTCGGCTCCCACGATAGCTTGTTCAAGGCCAGAATGGGACAACTGACGACGGTAACTGCTACTGGTCGACATGTTTCCTAAAGTGTTCAAACTGCCAACTGTGTTGCTCTGTCTGGGGGCAGACTGAGTGCCAGGGATCTCGGGCGCTCTTCTGTGTGGAGTCCTCGGAATGTCACAACCTGCACATTTAAATGGTTTTCATCAGATACGATTTTGAATTTAAGCATCGGCGTTTACCTCGTGCAAAAATCGGAGTTTCAGGCAAACTGCAAGATGTTTGCAGATGGCGTTCTTCCTGGGGACTATGTGATGACCGTTTCTGGAAATGCCGCCTTTTCGAATCTTGCAGTTCAGTTGGCAAGGTTCTGCGTTCTGGAGGTATGTTTGAACGGTTGGAAATGTAGAAGTTATTTCGTCTACCTACACACATTAAGAAAGTTAGATTGAGACCTTTCCAAAAATGTTTTAATTTATCATAAATATAGGATAAATTTAGACGACACAATTTATTGGATCAAACAGGTTTTTAAAATTGAAAAATAAATTAGGAGCAGTGAGCCAAAATGTTATATTGAGTGGAGTGAAGTAGTATTATATTATATTATTATTAAAAATTATCACGCAAAATTATTAAGGAACCAGTGAATATAAAAATGTAATAAAATATATAGTTTATGCTATTCAAACTAAGGATGTTGGCATACATTATTATTAGAATCGACAAGGTTGCACAAATATTTTAATATAAGAGAGCAGACCGCAAAACAAAATTATTAAAATAAAAAAAAACAATCGTTATATGCGGAACTATGAGCTTAGCTATTACATATCCGGTTTGAAGAAGTTTTTAGTTAGTAACCCTACATAATTGAGATATTAATAAAGGGAAATTTATTTGATTTACTACCTCTGCTATATGGCGATTCCATTGATCTCGTTTTAAAATTATTTGTATGTTGCGCATGCGGAGGAACAACTGGACCACTGTCGGCAGAGCTAGGCAAAGTATCAGCCTTTTTTTGAGCCGGGTTCAGTATTTCAGAGTACTCGTCATCCGCTTCTTCAACTGGCGAGGGAGGAAGAGGGGGAAATTCATGTTGAAGCACTTCAACATGAACAGGAAAGTCCGCAGACGTAGAGGTAGGTAGGCGGGTTTCGCGATCTCTATGTGCTATCAGCATCTCCTTGGCGCTTTCAGATTTCTGAATTCCACTTCGCTTCGGAAAAGGGGTTCCTCCTTAAAAATAATTAGCAAATTAGCATTGAACTATTTGCAGCAAATTATTACTTATACCAAATACAACCAAATATGAACTAACCTTCAATCAACAATTGCCGGTAATAATCTTCAGACTTTTGAATTTCACTGTGGCTACTTGATTTCTGTATATCGTTGGCTTGTCTGTCTTTGGTCGATCGTCCTTTCTTTTTATCTCTTCTGTCCTTATTTAAACTGTCTACCCCATTTAGAAGAAACTTTCCATCTTGTGTCAGTTCTATGTCTCTTCTTTCAAGTAGCTCTGTGATGTTTTGCTCAATTTTACGTAAAGGGGATATTTCAGAACTTTGCTGGGAACTGTCTCCATCCTCTTCTTCTTCTACAGTTATATCTAACTCCCTTCTGCTGTGAGTAAGTTCGTCAGCATTCAAACTCGGCAATGAAATAACCTGTAAAAGATTTGAACCCTTAAAGAATTTGTTTTAACTGCGTTTTTTTTATTTATTAGCAAAAAGTATGAAGAATGATGTTGGAAATTGCTTGGAACACCATTTAATAATTTTTTATCAGAGTACAGAGTATCAAACTTGTTCAGGCTACCCATAACAGCCACTAAAAACTGTTCAGATTGTAAAAAATTATTTGTTGATGCTTTTGAATCTTTAATATAATAAAACTCCATAGACACGTTTCGTGTTGCTATAAACTTTATCTGCCTCCCATGGTTTGCACTAGCGTGTGCCTCGTTACAGAAAAGGAGTTTTAGAGTAAAAACGGCGATTTTAACAATATTTAATAATACTTGAGTTGTCTCAAAGATGTTATGTTATTAAAATTAATACTTACCCTTACAACTGACGACTGACCCATATCGAGATCTGCAGCTTGTTCTTCCAAGGGTGGAACATAATTTTGTACAACTCCTTCTCTTATTAGAGACTTGATATTGTCAAATGTAGTAGAGTGTTTTTTAGCTTCCGTATTGTACTTGCTTGGAGTGCTAGATCTCGAACTAGACAGATCAGCACTCAAACGAGAAGGGGAACTACTCAGTTCTTGACTGAAATGTCGTGAATTGTTTAGATCTAAACTAAATCTTGATTTTGGTGAGTTCAATTCGTGGCTCAGTCTGGAGTGGGGAGTGCTGAGGTCTATGCTGTATCGCGAATTAGGAGTATTTAATTCACGAGTTAGCCGATCATCTTTATTAAGTATATCCGGAGGAATATCCACGCTGTGTCGAGACACCGGTATGCTCAATTCGGAACTCAGGCGTGAATTAACGGACGAAATTGAAGTCGCTGAAGAGGCTACGACGGCTTGACGATCTTTTTTCTTCCCACGCCGGATAATGTAAGTACTGGTTCCTGAGATGTGTGAATTTAACTCTGCGGGCAATACCAAATGATCATCTGAATCTGAGAAGGGCGACGTTACCTACAAAAAATGCTGCTAAATAATTTCCTCCATGATTGTGTTTTGTTGTAAAAATGAAGTTGATTTATGGAGTTTATTCTTCGTGTTAGATAAGCATGCTTTAATTTAAATGACTGGGAAATATCATAAGTATATAACATTTTTAATAATTAAAATGAAATGAAAATAATACTTCTGTTTGGACTACGCTTACCTCATCTTCAGTTGTACAAGGTGGTGGATCAGGCCAGTCTTCTAACTCCTTAAGCCTACTTGGGATAGAGCTAGTACTAGAATGCGATCCCGATTTTCTTCTTCTTCTACCTATTACTTTGGTACTACCTAAACAATAATACCCTTTATGCGGTAATTCCATATATCGAAACAATCTCGTTTTTGATATACACGTTGCAGGGAGACAATAGTATTGAATAATGAACTTACCAGGGGTTAATAAAGCTTCATCGTCAAAAGCCACTTCCCAAGCTATACTTGACCGTTTGTTGCAAAGGGGGGGTGGGGGTGGTAAAGCATCTTCTAATGAATCGTCAGAAAAGTGCTCGTCGTCTGCCAGTTCGCTAAGAGGTCGCAGATTATTTGTTTCTTCTAAATCGCTGAAATTCACCATTTGAAATGGCAATTAAGTCGAAAATAGTCGGTTGTGAAAAAAATCAATCGCGTCTATTATTTTTCGCGGGTCCTGTGGATATCAAAAATATAATAAAATATTCCCTACGAAAAATTCCGTTAGGTAGGTAGGTATAGTTAGGGATATGTGAAAACAAATTATGCAAAGTGTTTCATAATATGATGCTGACCTTTAAGGGTGGATGATTGGATGCATGATTTTAAGGACAAATGAAGCTCCGCAATCGCTTTCTTGACCTCTTGACTTTTTGTTGATCGACGAAGGGTTTTTACCGAAAAAAATAAAAAGCATTTTTGTGCATATCGCTAAACGGATAATAGTGTATTATGCACCAAGTGTGGTAAACGGCATTCGAGTTAGGAGTTTATTTGGTATGAGCGGAGCAAGTGTTTAACGAGTGACTTAAAAGGTTTGTCAAACGTTTTGCATATTAGACTTTTTTTTACGACCGTTAGTTATCAGAAATGGCAAATGTCAAAATTCAAGCCGTGCGTTAAAATCTCCGAAAACATTTGATTGCTTTGACGCTTCTCGCACTCTGAATCCGTATATAATTACCAACGTGCCATGGTTCAACTCAGAAGTCACCTTACATGCTATATTTTCAATGACAATCTTTTTTTAAAAAGGTTTCACCAAAAGCATCCAATCGATTCCAAACTAAAGTAATCGAAAATAACCAAAAAAATATCAAGGTATATAAAACCACTAAATGAACATTTTGGAAACCTTTCGTCGAATGACAAAGTGAAGAGAGTGACTATGAAATATGTATTAAAACTGTTTCTTTTTAATTTAACACCCTGTATATAAAAAAAGAGCGTTTGCGGACCTACATTCTTATACACTTTTTTCTTAAAATCATTCAAGAAATTACGCCCTTAAAGATCAGCAGCATCTTATAATGAAATACCCTGTAGAAACAAAATGAAATTTTGATAGAAACCTGTCAAATGCTGAACGATCGAATTTTATATTCTTATCCTTGTTTATGTATACCGTGTACCAAATAAAACAATCCACTACACGATCTGGAAACAAAAATTGTGTTGTGACGCTACTGATTGAGGTATTGCAACGAAAATTTAACCACAGACTAAGGAGATGATGCTCTACTCAATCAGCTTGACAGATGCGCCTTAGCTTATACAGGGTGTCCCAAATATTTGGTGCCGTTTTGGCGAATTCGATTAACAAAATCTCAAGATTTTCAAATAGAACACACTATAGTTTTATTGAGATATCAATTTTAGGACAAAAAATAAGGTAAGTTTGTAATTTACCTTACATTAAAATTTTACTTACTTTTTGAGATATTCGAGTATTAAGATAACACGCATATAAATTCTTGTTGAAATCAAAGCTGCCCACATTAGGTCACTTGTTAGCAATATTAGGTATTTTTTAAATAGCAAAGACATTATACCACTTCTTTTAAGATAGAAAACTCCAGATATACGAATAAAACCTATTGCTAACAATACAGGGTGTCCATTAATACGTGGAAATTTTGAAAATAAAACGACTTTATATATATCTCAATAGATAAGTAAAATTTAAATATAAGATAAATTACAAACTTACCTTATTTTTTGCATAAGCTGAGGCGTATCTGTCAAACTGATTGAGTAGTGCATCATCTCCTTAGTCTGTGATTAAATTTTCGTTGCAATACCCGGATCAGTAGCGTCACAACACAATTTTATATCGGGCAATCAAAATATGAAAAAAAAAAAAACACAAACTCAATTTCTCCCTAAAGAATTCCAATAATGTCGAAATATATAGAGGGTTTATTTAAAATAACAAAGTTGATGTCGGGGGGCGGGGACACTTTAGGGACACCCTGTATCAACAAAATTATAATGTTTTAAATCTTCAGGAGAGCCCAAGAAACTTTTGTACGAAACTTTTTATCGTATCTCCTATGGGTTTCCAGATCGTACAGTGGATCGTTTTATTTGGTACACGGTATTCAGTGGCACCTCGGTTGACAGTAAAATATACAATAAATACTTTTTTAAACGTTTTAGGTTTCTCGTAAAACCTAAAACCAACGCAATACCGCTCAAAAATCATATACAATGGATTAATTTCTCATACACAGTAATGACTTAACATTGATAAATATCCTAAAGTCAATTACCCCCGAACAATTTTCGGAAGTTATTAAAGTCGGCCGTTTCATATAAAACGTCTTTGGCAAGAAAACACGAGAAAAATGTCGCGTTATTTATTACAAGCGGGAAAGAGTAAGAGCAACAATTTTCCACTCGAACGTTTTTCGTCATGGTCGATCTCTCGATAATACTATCAGACTGCTGCTGCTCCGTCACGGCAACAATAACAGCTTTTGTGTATTTTGCCTGAAGCGAGAAGGTTGTGTAAGTTTAGCCATCGATTTTTCGTACAATTGGATATCTATAACCCAGTTTGCCTCAACCGATGTGAAACTAAAGCACGAACAATTTTTAGCATATAGATTGCGGAAACTTGCAAGGAAACACAACGCTACGTCTTTTAAAAATGTGGAAACAATTCAAATAAACCTATCAATGTAGGGGACTTAATCCGATGCGGAGTTTGTTTTGAAATTATGCGATTGACAACCAAGTCAATTGGAAGCATACTGTCTCTATCTATTAGACCTGTGAAATAGGAATTTCTTTCTTCTTATTAGTGTAGATGTTTTGGTAGTAGACGAGTAAATCACAAATTGAATAATAGGAAAATCGATCTGTTATGGGAAAATTATAAAATAACTTCCCATTATACCAGAAAGGATGTCAAATATTCCAATTTTTTTTTTGTTGCGTCCCACTGCTGGGCATAATCCTCCACTCTGGTCAGGCGGCTTAGAAGATGTTTTTTACAACACAAACACTCAAGGCTCCTGGTGAGAATCTAACCCACAACCTCCGGCATGTCAACTGACCGAATCATCCTCGGTCCCAACTATTTAAAATAGAACACCGTACACGCCTTTACCCTTACCCTTAATGGTGTTTCAATAATGAAGTGGGTATTCCTTAGTTCCTGTCCTACAGGCCCTAGATACAAGGCAGTAAAATTTTTAAAAATAATAATTTTTATACGTATTATCTAAGAAACGTTATCCGTGCATCAAAAGACATTTCCAGGAGCATAACATTTTAATTTTTTTACCAGTGGCGTCCACTAGTTGCATCGCATATTTATGAAGAAAAACTGGCACGCCACTGAAATTCTTTCATGTGTATACTTTTTTTCGTTAATTTAATAATTTCTGCATCAATGTCACCTCTTGTGTTTTTCTTGTCAGATGCACCGTTCTTAAAAGAATTAAATTAGAAATACTCCATTTCGAAGCACTGAAATCAATAACACATACTTATCAAGAAACTTCATACACTGATATAAAAATAGTATCAAAATTAACCATAACAGTTCTATCGTATATCGCTGTATTTAAAAGCCATTGAAATTAATTTAAGATAAACAAGGAATGAACCTCCTCATATATTCACTGAACTATTCGTTAATTAACATTCTCATTTTAGATGAAAAACTATGGAATAAAAAAAATTCCGCAGATATTAAATTCAATTTTACAAATACTGACTGCAGCGATCCCTGATTATTGAAAAAGAGATTACTCAGTGCCAATTAAACACAATATACAGGACTATTCACGCTCGTTGATGCGGAATCGCGTGGTCAATTATTTTTTGAGATTAATTTTGTATTATACAGATTGTCGTAAAAGTTATTAAAGCATCAAAGTGATGTTTTTTTCTGGATTGGAATTCCCATTCAAACTAATTGTTTCGTTTAAAGAACGTTTAGGATATCTTATACCTAACCTGTATTGTATTATTAACGATTTCGATTGTTCACAAAAAATAAAGGTACCTATGTATAAAATAGGAAGGATATTTTAAAACAATTTTAAATAACATATTTAATTTTCTGTTATTGGTAAAAGAAGAATAAGTAATCTTTAATCGTTAATCCAGTAGCGATTAATTAACAACAACATTTTAAAGTTTACTGTTAAAGTTTATTTTGATGGAGTAGTTAAGAAAATAACAAAATTTAACAACCTAACAGGATTACCGTAGGTTTCCGTATTAAAACATTTTCATTAATACAAACATCTATTGGCTTTTCATAATTTTATTTCGTATAATTTTAGCACAGCGTGGTATAGTATAGTAAAAAACTAATTTCAATTTAACTTTGTGTATCTATAGGCTATTTTATACACGGCTAATTTAATAAAGGGAACTTATTTAAAGCAAGTAAGGAAAGTAATTGGTTTCTGATATCACCCTGTATCATTTGTAGCTGAAACAAATAATTGAATGATATACAATATATCAAAATGGCATTTTGACTATTATTTTCTACGAAATATGTTTAACCTGACCAAACAAATTTATAAAATGGCTAATATATATCAAAACCACGAGAGATAGAGCCTATTATAAGTCACCTTTGTTTTGTATGAGGAACCCACATCCAAAATAAAACACTGGGTGTTCGATTGTTCTTGAAAAACTGAGCACCGCGTATAACTGCTTTCTCCGATGGTAAGTTTGTTAAAAACCATTCAGCCATTTCGAAGTAATAGATTAAAAAGTCATTGAATCTCTTTATTTTAATATATTAGTGAAAAAATGTTTTATATATGTATATAACAATAAATAAAGCTCATCTATAAAAAATATAGATTTTCTGGCACATAAAAATTTAAGTTTGAATAATTTAAGAAATATAGTATAGTCTGCCTCAATCTTCATCGTGCTGGCTTTTACCCGCAAATATGGAAGTTACAGCAATACAGCAATAAAACTCTAGGATTTGTGTGGTTTTGAATAGAAATACAGTGTGTCTCTGGAATCATGTTTCATCAAGGTAAATTATGTATCTGATGTCTAATCTATATTAAATCTCCAAGTGCGTAATCTGTACGATTCCGTTACTACTTATCTTTTGTCTATTTACATTTATATTGATTTTATCTTCTTCTAACTTCTTTTTCAGTTTATCCAGGGTAGGAACAACTTCGCTTTGATAAAGACAATATATTTCCCTTTTTATTAGGTACTGATCACTACTGTCTATACAGTGAGTTTGAAAAGTTTGTTACACATTTTTCACAATCTGTTTTGCATCAAGCGAAAAATGATGACACTGCCACAAATAGTCAACACTTAAGAAATATAATAGAAAGGAAGAAATATACCTACCTTGTCACTCAAGTAATGAATTTTTTGTTAATGGCTTTACCCAATAACAATATCGTTAAAATTTTATAGCCAACACGATGAAGATTGAGAGACTGCATTCTTATCTATCTAGCTAGCTAGCTAGTGTACTTATACCTTGATAATACTGTAAAGAGGTTTGCGTGTACTATTGTTGTCATGTGTTGAAAATTCACGTTCGATAAAAAAAGTTAATAAAATCTCCTTGGATGTGTTATATATGATGAAACGTGGGAGCTTCTGGTGGAATTAGGCTTTAAATCAGCCAGAACCACAGTTATAACACAGTGAATTTCAGACCGGAACAAGTATTTCCTAGGCGAGACAGAAATAGTATGGATTAACGAATCAAATTAGAATACGGAGGCTGAACAACATTCAAGTGGAGTAGGTACTTACCTAGAAAGATTGTCTTCACTACCATGCCTTCGCACCTCTCTGTGTCGTTCCAATGCGGTGGGTATGGTTCTAGGAGGCACTCGCGTGGGTGAGGTAAGGGGATACAGCCCGTGTTGATAAGGTAAGCTACCGTAACGAAAACCGCTTGGGGGCGGCGGAGGGTTCAAAATAAACTCGTTGCTTTCCCAGCCGTAAGGTCGCTGATGTCGCGTCTTTGGCTAAAAGCAGGTGTAAACACGTGTACAAACGATATTTTCTCGGTTAAATTTCGTCGATAATATGATTATAATTAGATGATTATGTGGGAGTCGAGCGGCATCTCGAATCGATTTCAGTGGTACATTTTACGACAGCGATTTTAGTTTGCAATTTAAGCGCTCACCTTAAATTAATGATTAATATATTTTTAGCGTTTTACCAATACGCATTAAGATCAGATCACACATAAGAAATATACAAAGGACGCAGAAAATGACCACTCTGAAGTGTTAACAAATTTTGATGTTAAATAACTTAGCTTCATGATGAAATTTCCCACAGAGGGAAAATTATTTCAATTATTTAAGACTCCTTGTAGTGAAATACTGGATGGCACTCCAAACAAGGACTGGTCGCAATAATAAGTGAAAGTGGGACTACGGAAAATATATTTTTTTTTTTGGATGGACTAAAAAATTTTGGAACTAAATATAAATACATGTTTAATTAATGTCCTGAATATGATATACTAAGATATACTAAGATATTAACATTGCTTCAGTCTATTTACTGATTCCCTTCAATATCACGACTTTAAACACAGTAAATTAATTGAACTGAGGTGGCTTTTACTTGATGAAAATCCATTTATCAAAATAAATAAGGAAGTTCAGATTTTCACAAAATTATATATTTTTACATGACAATTGTTTCCACAACACCGTGTCTTTATCAAATCAATCACATTTGATGAAGACACGGTGTTGTCGAAACAATTGTGATGTCAAAATATATAATTTCGTGAAAATTTGAACTTTTAGTTCTTATTTACTGTAAATTAATACTAATTAAGAACAAAGGTTAAGGAATCGAATAGGTTTGGTTACTTAAGTAGAAAATTGTAACTACTTACCAATGTCGTTTGCGTGGCAGTGGCGCTATGTACTGGTCCTTGTACACCATTTAAATTTGGGCTATTCTGAAAGCGCTGCGGGGGCGGTATCGTATCCGTTCGGAGCGGAATTTTAGTTTGAGGCAATCTGGTTTTGGGCATCTTATTATGATATTTAGGGATGACAGATTTTGGCCTATGGCCGGGTGAAACTCTGAAAAACAAATAGTACAATTATATATATAAAAAAGAAGTATTGTAACGTAAAATACAGTTCGTTCACTTTTGGTTGCGATTGGATACTGTTTCTTTCGTTAGTAACATTATTTGTGAAAAGAAATTGAAAATAAAAGTAACAGAATTGTTAGTTTCTGAGCTATAAAGTGATATTAAAAGTATTTTGAAGTACCGCTTGTATCTCAGCTGTCCAACAAAGTATCAAATAAGTAAAAGAGTCTAAATGAGTTGGGGTTTTTATATATTTTTCAGAAAATTTTTCATTTTAGAAGTATTTCAAAAATGTTTTGCCTTGTTTCATAAAAAATGACAACACTCTCAATTTTCATAATTAGCATTCCAAATTTTGCAAAACAGTACAGCTTTTTACTTGCTTGGTAATGTAATATTTTTAAAATCGCGGCTCGGAAACTATGACAATTTTGATTTCGGCATCTTTCATTTCACACAAAATACAGTACAATAACATATAATACAATACAATAAAACATAAAAAATAAAATATAGTATAAAAATTATAACTGTCAATGCCAATTCGCATTTAACTTCAAAAAGTACCCTAAAATTTTCACAAATAAAAAGAAATGACCATTTCGACCAATTACGATCATCAGTAGGTGAGTTTGGTATGGTGTAAAGTCTATTCATAGATATTAGAAAGTGACTAACTGATACGAATTAAGGAAAGACCCAGGCAGGCTGTAAGAATGAAATATGGCCGAACAGGTCGGTACTTTGCTTAGAATTTAATTATTTGGGGTTTTGTTAGGACAGATAGGTTTTGGTCAACTGTCTATTGTGATAACTTGCATTGTCTATTACAATGACGCTATTAGGAGGAATGTTTGGAACTAGTTTGTTTTTAAACTAACTTTCAAATAAATCAGCGGTGGTGTCTTCGTGGTAATCCAGAGAAGAATCTTTAATATTTTTCGTAGACAGAGAAAGGCCATTTGGAATCCAACTATCTTTACAGCCAGCATGCAAAATAGTTATTCTTTTACCTCTTTTTGATGGCGCGTTTGTTTTACACTTATCAGTTGAGTCAACCCAACCCTTTTCCGGGGTATCATAAGTGTCGAACCAAGTTTCATCCAAGTAAATAATTGGCCTTTGTTCGTAAATCCTAATTTTTTTTAGATATTTCAATCGCCATTTCCGAATTCTAAAAGATTCCATTAAAACTTGCATTTTGTCAATTTTTTGAAATCTAAAACCCGTGTGTTGAATACACTTCCCTAAGGTAGTTCTGCCACATTTAACACCGGTTTTATCTGTTTCAAGCGTCCTAATTAAGATATCTAATGTAGGCACGCTTTGTTCCACGTATAACTAGTAGATTTTACGCCGTATTATATCTTGATCACCTTCATCTACACTCGAGAAAATGTCAGCATCGCTTCTTTTTTTTCCTCGCTGAAATGGGACAATTTTCCATATAGTTGATGTTGGAATGTGGCCGTTTCTTCGAACGATGCTTGCACATATTTTGCACAATTCGCACACGATTCAACATACGCTGTATTACACACGAAATAAACATGATTACTAATAAACTTAAACCAAGTAGTATACCAAACCAAAGAATATTAAACACAGGTAGGCATAAAATTATTTTCTATTACGGACCACAATTTTACCTGAATTTAAATTCCGAAACTATAGGTAATAATTGTTGTTGGATTGTATGTTAATGACCACCCTTGGACAATCCCATTCAAAAGCAATTGATCACTTTCTTATATATATGAACAGACTTTACCTAACTGAACTGTCGCTGCTTAAGAAGTATATGAATAAAAGTTTTGATCTTGCCTATGAGATTGCTAATTTGGGTTTAGAATTTTTTAATCGATCGGACAAGAATTATAAATACTCGTTTCTAATGCACCGCGTATAATGCCTATAAGTATAAAAAAATAAAATATCATTTGAGAAAGGAATTTTTTTTCAAGAACAAAAGACAAGATATAAAAAGAAAGCAGAAACAATATAATTTATCAGGTATCTGGATGGGTGGACTTTTAACCAGTCAACAAGAAATATGAATACTACTTGCGTTGTAATTTCAATTACTTTACATTTAATCAACAAAAATACGTACGTCCGAAACTTTAGGCTAAATTATTCAATAATATTCCGGGCAGCCTAGCAGTATTCTAAACAATTTGGCCTATTTTGCATTGCAGTCTGCCATAAATTCATTGACCTTTTTACGGCTGTTCCAGGTTAGATACGCCTGGCTTAATTTAGTGAATAAATCAACAACAAAATAGGGGCGAAAGGTCAACTGCGAATAAATAAGTTGATCTTATATTGGGCGCTAAAATCTACATTAAAATAAAAGTTTTTAAAGTCCAAAAATTTTAGATTCTAGATAAATAATGATTCAATTCTTATCCAATTCAATTCTTATTCAGTATACAGAGTGTCGTATTTGAAAAAGGAAAATTTTGCAGCTTTGGACACGAAGTAATTGGACGATCTGCGACAAATGAATTCTCAATAACAATTGTTGTCATAATAATTGTCAACTATAGGGTACATAAATAAAAAATTCTTTCATTGTAAAACAATGAGAATTTCGATGCTGCAGTAAGTTTGTAAAAAATTAAAATTTTAGCTCACTAACTCACACTGCAAAATATCCATAGCTTAGTTCCAATTACTGTGCTTCTATTTTGGTAACATGTAAGCAAAAATTACTTACATCGGTAACAGGGTCGCAATAAGCCTCTGAGCTTCCTCCGGGGGTGGGGGATAATCGTTGGGGTTACCAGGATGCATTGTGGTCGAGCTGCTATTCGTGTTTTCGTGATGGACGGGAACTTCGGCCAAGGGCTTAAAGGCAAGGTTGAATTTCGGCTGTTTCCGACCGTTCATTGACATGTAGCCATCGTCCTCGGATTGATGGTCAAGCGAAGGGCTTTCGTCATCGGGGGTGGACGAGCTGTTGGTACTCGGTTGCCTGAGGGTGCAGGGTGTCGAGGCGCAGTTGCTAACTTGTTGAGTCTAAAACAAAAGACGTATTTTGTTTTGAAGCAGTTAACAAAGCTAATAAGGGAAAATTATTTATAAAAAAATTCTAGCTTTCTGAACTGAACCAGTACCGTTTAGAGTGTATTAACGGGTGATGGCCTAACAGCTAGATCTATAAATCTACCAACTTGTGAGGAAACTCAAGTGAGACCAAAGAGATTTACAAAATGTCTAAATGTCTTAGCTGATCGTCCACGCAAAGCGACACTCTGAATCTGTGTCTTTCATCGATACTTTTGAGTGCCTACTTGCGAGTAATTCTTGCCAATGTCACTGAATTTTCTCATGTAAGCAGGAATATTGTCTTCCGTGTTATCACAGTAAAAAAGAGTGTGCACTGTTCGATATCGCAATTGCAAAGAAGGCATGAAAACGCAAGCTTTCTTTTCGCTAGGAAGGAAGATTGATGACGTTGGGATGGATAGCTAATAATACAATTTTTATTCGCTCGTATGTCAAAAATTATATCTTATACAAAATTGTGAGTACGCCGCTGGATTCTAAGTAAAAAAGTCTAGAAGATTCCGTTTTCATCAGGGTGTTTTTAATAGAAAGGGTAACTAAAATGGCCAAACTTTTCTGTTCCTCCGTATATCTCAAAAACAAAGGCAACTATGATTGTCTTGAAAACGTCATCTTTTGTTTCACGAAAACCGAGCAATATGCTACAAATACCGCATGTCCTAATTATAACTGAGATACCCACCCCGCAACAACAACGAAAAATGTACCCACTGTACAGTATGTTTCATTTTTGATGGTTTTACGGCAGGTTCACCTCTCAAGCTGAAAGTTGCCACTGACAGAAATATCCTTGCTATATTGGATTTTTAGTTACAAGTTCCTGTTGAAAATTTGAAAAACCTTAATATTGCGCATTCGTAGTAATAATGTAAATTGTAACATAATAAATATATAAAGTGTTTAAACTAGTTTATATAAAATCTAACGCATCTGTTCAACCGAATATAGCAAAGTGCTAAAAGATTGGTTTAAATCGATTTTTGTGTAATCCCAAAGAAAAATGAGGATTTATAGGAATTGTAAACTAAGTTTAGAATAAGTTTGGATTTATCAGGGGACTGGATTTTCGGTAAAGCTACTGGTGCAGAAACGCAGACTTCGTCTGTTTATTCAGTTCTGTTACTTCCAGTAAGAACACAGGAGATTGGCCTAGATGAGACAGACATCAACAGTCAAACACAGTCTCGATCAAGGCAGGTAACCAAGGGCGCACGACATGGATGTATTTTGTCACCGATGCTTTCTAACATCTGTGTAGAAAAAAATTATAAAACTTGCTCTCGAAAATGAATCCAGAGGTATTAGGGTTTAATGGATGATACAGTTCCAATAGCCCCCACTCTGGGAGTGTCGGAAGACAGCTCTGTAAATGCCTAATACTTGGGGCACATTTTAAGAGGACCTGGCTACGCCATACGCCATTCTGCAGTGCAAAATGAAGGAACAGGACTAGGAACATACGGCATATCAGACGTGGAAAAAAATATTTGGTAGGGCAGATGATTCCAACGTGCAAGAATGCATATGGGACCAGAAGAAGAATAATAACAGCATTACTATTATTATTATATACATATATACTATACTTTTTCTACGACGCTTTAATTTTTGCAAAACGACACCAAAGCGTTTAATGAGTGCCGTATGACGTGACCGTCAGAACTGACAAACGTAGCAAATGGTTAAAATCTACCGAAAACGCCGGATCTCTCTCAAACCCGTGACTAAAATGCCGGAAAAATTCGAAGTGGCTACCGGCTTTGGCTCACGAAGTTGAAGTCACTTTTCGCTTTACTCAAGCTTGATCCGCACATAATTGGGTATTTTAGAGCAGGGAGTAGAAAAAATAATTTTCTATACCTGTCGACTTTGTCAAAGAGTTTTGCGCCATATTTCTCTTGAGAAAATGGTAAAAAAAGGCAAATTTATCGCTATTCATTGGGGCATAGCAAGAAGCGTTACCTATTTCGGGAAATAAATGATCGAATGACTCCGCCCAAGTGGAGCTGCGATCGCCTATTCGAAAATAAGAAGGCTTACCGCGTTTCGTATACCGTATTAGTATTTATACTCACGTTTTGAACTTGGTTGGCGTTTTCCACATCGTCGAATTCGGAAAGCACTCGATCTAAGAGTTCAATGGATCGTTGAACGTCGTCCGCACCGCTGCAAGAAAAAGGCGATTATAGCCAATTGTAGTTTCGGATATGCTACGTCTCACTAGAATTACGGAGTACAATGAGACTCGTTCCCTTTTCAACGGCATTTGAATAGCATCCATATTAGGAGGCTGCCTTTATTTTGGTTTGACGTTCGTTTCTAAATGTCAAAATTGATTTTTTTACCTTAATATTAATTAATTGAATTGAATATCTAATATTGAAGCTACGAGGTCGCTCATGTTTGTAAAGTTGAACAATTCAGTATCGCGTTTCCGACTTGGTCAGCATGTATGTTCGATTGTCATCGATGTCAATGAAAAAGCTTATATACAAACATTGATTATAATTATTGATTGATTATATTTGTTATATTATAATAGCTTGGTTAAAAATTCTCCCTTTTCGGTATAGAGGGCGTTAAAATTTTATTTTAATTTGGAATGTGATGAAAAAATGTTTTCGTCAATATAAATTAGTTTTTAACAAAATTAAACAGACGAGTACTAAATAGAAACGGAAACAAAAAACAGATCTAAATCGTGATAAATGTTGAAAACGTCTCCATAAATATAAGTAAAACTTCCCTGTACCTCGAAAACGAAGAATTTTAGACCCCCGGTTTATAGTAACTTTTTATCTTAAAAGTATTTGATAAATTATGTGAAAATTTGAATACATAATTAAATAAAACACTGTATAAAACAAAAAGTATTTTGAAAGTCAAGGACAACTACGGTGATATATTTTTTTAATATTAGGGGTAAGAAAAAGTGATAATGAAAATGTACAATCGGAGTTTTGGAGTTTCTAAAATGCATATTATTAAGCACTTAAATTAGCAGCTTTGACTCAATTTAACTATCCTCGCATTTAGTTTCAAAGCTTCGAATAGGGGTATAATTTGAATGACCATGTATACCGTTGACAGTCAGAGCTTATGAAGAACTAAAAAATCTAACTCTAAAATTGTATATGTTTAAAACATTAATAATTATTTTGCAAAACGAATCAATCGGAACTAGTAAAGGCTTTTGTAATCACTACAGAGAATATGATAATTTACCTAATAAAATTAAAGGCAATATTAACGAAAACACAAAATTCCTTGTTACCAGTCAATATTAGGATTTATAAATTGTAATATTTATTGCTTTTATAGAATAAAATTTCTAACAATAAAAAAAATTAGATCCCTATCCACAAGTACTGAAATTGGGAATATAGAAATTAATAAATTGATGATCTATTTTTATGTGTTACCTATAGTTTACAGTTTGGCTGCTAGGGTTAGCTTTTAGCCTGTCAGTTAGTGGTACTCAAATGATCTACTGCGCCAGTAATTTCGTAGTCATAGAGCTTTATGTACGTAACTATGTATTACGTAATCAGCATCAACAACATCGCACCATTAGCACATAAAAATCCACATGCTCTATCCAATACAAGAGTTTCAAAACCGTTATTGAAGACCAGTCTTATTGCGAAGGAAGCGGTTTTAAACATCGTCCTGTTGCAATTTCTATAAGGAGTCCATAATTGCTTTTTGGGGAGACAATCGACAAAAGCCACGACTTCCAGTCAGTTTCTTTCGAAGCTCGTCGCTTGTATATATATCTATTTTTCGTACGTTCTTGCAGTTAATTGGTTGTCCCGTTACTCTGCTCGCAAAAGTAGAGATCATATATCAGGTTTCCTCCTGCCAGAAATTAAATTGGATCCAGACGATGGAACGTCAAAAGTGCGCAGAAAAACCATTTGCGAGAGGAAAAGATACGGAAACGGCAGTAAATTCATCACGGCTATCGGTTGTCCTAACTGACGGTTAACTTCGTTTTTGGGGATTGTTATCGCACATCTAGCAACTTTTCCAGCGCCATTACGCCTTTCGCTGTTCAAAAAGAAGGGTGAGGTGATAAAAAACCCGAAACAGAATCGTTTGCTCCTCGTCGCGTCGCTACCGAATGGCACGTTCTCTTATATAACACGTATGTTACCGGAAAATAGATATTAGCTTCAAATTTTGTTCATATCGAAATAAATAATTAATAATAAAAATAAATAGATATTAGCTTTATTTTTTTTTTTCATATCGAAATAAATAAGTATTTTTCCCACAATCGTTAAAATTCGCAATAAAACAATGAGGAAAAATAAATTGTTTAACCACTGAAAAAAATATGGGAAACTCGATCTAAACTAAAACAGCACCGACGTGCTAAAAAAGCGAAGCAAATTGTACAATACGAAAAAACGGCAAGAATGCACGTTTTTTCTTTGTCATTTGTATTAATTATTTTCTAGTGAAAAAATTTAGCAGTCAAAGAATGTATTTTATGTATTTTTTCACACACAATTATCTACCTAAATATTCAAGTCAATTCGATGTCTTCAGAACATCAGTTAATTAACAGGACAAAGTAAGCGTAAGAAATGGACTCTCTACATTTGATTTCTTGTGACAATTAAATCAAGAGGTAAATAACAAAATACCGATTTATTTTATATATATATATATATATATATATATATATATATATATATATATATATATATATATATATATATATATATATATATATATATATATATATATATATATATATATATATATATATATATATATATATATATATATATAATGTACATACCTATTATATGTAATACAAACAAGATAGGTACACATTGAGTTCTATGAGTTGAAGAGATATCATATAAGTTAAATCGTGAATCTGGACCCCACCCTGATGTCGAATCTATATTTTCTTCATTTTCTTCGATCCTTCGCATAAAAAACTTGGGCATATCACTGTCAGACTAACAGTGGCGATACTTATCAAACAACTCGACGCGGTCGAATGATTGGGGCATGATTGCGGTAATTATTAAATATTAATATTACATTTTGCAAAACTGCGGTTGTTGTCTTTATGTAGATAATTATTAGGTGAATCGATAAACAAAATATGCTGGGATCCAAATTAATAATTTCAGTACATTTCATAACTCACCTCACGTCATTTTATAATGTATGTAAAATATCGCTTAAAGTTCTCTTAAATTACACCATAAACAGCCAAACAAATTAACAGTGACAGCTTATTCAATAAGAACAAAACTATCGGGCATAATTGTCCTTATTACATAGCTCTGGCAACTGTCATAACTTTTTGTTAGTTTAAATTTGATTAACGAATTAAATTAAATTATCTTATATTATATATAAGGAGAGCCGAAAAACATCGCCATCCATCGCTATTTGAGCGCATTGCAGTAAGTTCATGCGCATGTCCAGATTGACACTAATGAAGTAAAGCCGGCTACACACGATCCGGCAGGCCTGTCAGTTCGAACTGAACAGTCCGCCTGAAGATCGGTCGCCTGATGGACTGACCACTCTCCCCACGTTTAGGCAAATATGAAATATCATCGTCATGCCCTCTACTGACGACGACGCGTTAGCACTTCTCGGCTTAGTAGTTGCTTTGGGTAAAAAGAAATCCAAAAAACGTACGGTGTGGTGTAAACATTGAACTGAATTTTCTCAGTCCGCCTGAACAGTCTGAACCGACATTTCGACCGGAACATAGAAACGTTGAGGCGACTGGTCTTTAAGCGGACTGTTTACTTCGAACTGACAGGCCTGCCGGATCGTGTGTAGCCGGCTTTATACTTGTTCAGATGACAATTTTTTGTTGCAAGTTAGGTGTGAGAAAATTTGTTTGTTTGGAACTAAATAGTGTGTGTAGATCACACATTATTTAATTTGAAAATGGTGCGTAGTGATTTTGTTAAGCAAGACCCTGGTCGGTGCTAAAAGAAAAAGTAGTTGCACTGGTGATTAATTTGGATTGATTAAACTATTGGAGAATTAATTAACTATTTTTTGAGGCTTGACTTAATAAAATTGTCAATGTTCATGGCAAAAATTAATGGGGTGTTAGCAGACAAAGTCATAAGACAGCCCAATCTTTATTTTTATAATTCAACTTATTAAACTCACAGCGATACGAATTGATAACCTGCCACGGTGGTAAACGTTATCATCTCTCATGTCGCTGTCATTATTTTATCATTACCTTTGGTGCTATTAACCGACATAATATTTGTCTATTGGTGCTATTTCTTGGAATACTAGGGTACAGCTGTTATAACGAAAATTTTTGCCATCGGTTTTTCGACCCTGAGATTCACTTATTAAATTAAATAATATCGCCTCAGTAACACTTTGTACAGTAAAATATCATATAGAAATTACGAAATATTTTATCGCACTTTGGATGGAACCTTTCGTATAACAGATACCGAAATTATTTGGAATCAAAGAGAGGGAAGAAAGATTTTAGGCTGTTGTCATGTTTGCGCTGGATGTTGTCAAACTAATGCGCACTTAGAGAAATTCGTAAATTGTAGTGAAATATTTTTCAAAAATTCAAAAGAATTATCAAAACCAAAATAAAAACTCAAAAATTTGAAAAATTGACTTCAAATATTTGTTATAGGAAGAGCTTAACCGCATCAAATGAATCCTTACTTTTTATACCGGGAATTGAAAAAGTATATTAAAAGTTGAAAACAAAAACTACTAAAAATAAAATTTGAAATAAATAAATAAATAAATTTCAAATTTGAATTAAAGTCCTTAGCTTCAGTAAAACCCAAAATGCAGTAGGCAAGTCTTATAAAAGTTTTTTTTTGATCTAATATTTTAATTTTAAACTAAAAACTATTTAAAGAAAACAGACAATAGCAATTGCGTGGCAAGGCAGCAACAACAAATATGGGGTGCAGTAACATATTGTACTCGTATATACGTACTTTTATCGTTACTATTTCTCGACTCATCGTGCACAACGAAAACGATTTTTATCATATAAATTTTGCAGTTACATTTTATACATCTACTATTCAGCACATTTAAAAAACTTAGTAGAAAATAGCAAAACGGGAATTTTGTCGTTTTAAGTTGAACCCTGGGCAACTAATGAGTTTAATTAATGCCCCTGC